TGCTGAACCAACCGACCTCTTCAATTCCCTCCTTTCCCATACATCCCAACCACAAAGCCTCAACCATACCTTGGCTGCTGCGTTCCTTGCATACGAACCTCTCGTTACCCCTGCAGCTTTCCCCACCTGCACTTATCACCACCTCTCTATCAATTCCATGCTGCTGTGACTGTTGTGGCACAGTCTTCCGTCCACTGCAGCCTCCCCGGGTTGCAGCCCATCCCACGATCATCCTCTGGCCATCCTTCCATTATGTCCCCTTAAATTGCAGCACCTCTGGCTTCGGGGTACATGTAGTTGTGCTTGGTTATGTTTGTTATTGTATTTCCTTCTTTAAAGTGCTTTGTTTGTAACCATTTTGAATTTCAGAAATAATATTTGCTTTTTCATTGTGATTTGAGTTAACTGTGGTATTAAAAAGTCTAGATTTTTGTATATGTCATCAATTCCAACATGCCCTATGCTTTGTCCGAGCCCCATTTTCTAATTAAGGTTTTATGGATCGAGCATACATCATGTTGTATCCAAACTCATCTCTACATCAATATACATCCACCATCTTTTAAGCTCAAAATAGGAACAATATTAGTTGAAATTTTGCTCGCTTGTTATAGAAATGGGCTAGTATCGAGAATTCAATCGACAATTCAATTTTTGTTGCGTTCATGACAACCAGAGCCTGGAAATTGAAACTAGTTGGACAAACTGTTCTATTCCTAGAGATTAGTTCACTCTCTGACCCTAGTTTGTGCCATGAGTTTATCTCTAGCTGCTTTGGAGTGTTATTTGTTTAGTTTTGTTTAATTTTGGAACCATTTTACATGGTGCTGAGTTGTATTGAAGTTTCTGATGCAGAAAAGTGGGTGATGACCGCGAATACTTTGTGAAATGGAAAGAGCTTCCCTATGATGAATGCACCTGGGAAGTTGAATCAGATATTTCTACCTTCAGACCACAAATTGAAAGATTTAAAATGATCCAATCAAGAGGTGCTAAGATGATCCGAACCAAGAACAAAAATTTCAGTAGTGATTCAAAAGATCATAAACCTAAGTTGAAAGAGTTTCAGCAGTTTGAGGAAAGCCCAGAATTTCTTTCTGGTGGTATGGGTTCAAGCTATATCTCTGAAATTTTTTTGGTTCCCTTGAAGCCAGTTAGGTTTGACAGGCTAATCCTATTCTGGATACTTGTAGGGACACTGCATCCGTATCAGCTTGAAGGCTTAAATTTCTTGCGCTATTCGTGGAGAAAAGGCACTCATGTTATACTTGCTGATGAGATGGGTCTTGGTACATACTTCTAAGGAGTGAATTTTGAATAGATTTTTTTTTTCTCAACTTATTTTTTCCATAGTTTTCTAATAAGTGTGCGCCAAATGCAGGGAAAACTATTCAGAGTATTGCTTTTCTTGCTTCCCTTTTTGTAGACAATCTATCTCCTCATTTAGTGATAGCACCACTTTCAACACTGCGGAATTGGGAGCGTGAGTTTTTAACATGGGCGCCACAAATGAATGTTGTATGTGCAAACTTCATTGATGGAGGAAGTGGAATGATTCTAGTGTATCTGTACTAAATATTTGTATATAATTTATTTTGTTTTTATTGTAGGTCATGTATTTTGGAGCAGCCCAAGCTCGCGCTATCATAAGACAGTATGAATTTTTCTATCCAAAAATGAAAACAAAAAGACACAAGAAGAAGAAGGCTTTTCAAAATTCCAGTCGAAAGAACCACACAAAAAGAATAAAGTTTGATGTTCTTTTAACATCATATGAAATGGTAAACATGGATTCAACATTTCTAAAATCCATCAACTGGGAGTGCATGGTATATGCTGTACTTTTTTAGCTGTTTTTTTTTTTAAATTATGATACAGCTTTGATCGGTTTACATGGATATTACCTTGGTCTTTACTGACATTCATGCAGATTGTAGATGAAGGGCACCGCCTTAAGAATAAAGAGTCCAAATTATTTCTTCAACTAAAACTTTTTTCTGCAAAGCATCGCGTGCTTCTAACTGGGACACCTCTCCAGGTTAGTACACATTTTTTGAGTGGTGACATGTGGCTTTTTGAAGGCTTAAACTAGAATGTCACTGAATTGACTTGTGTTAACAGAATGAATATAGCTAACCAATTTTTACTGTCTCACTTCATACCTAAAATATTTATATTCAAATCAAAGAATATTTTTATTCTATGCAACTCATAGGCAAATGTAGCATGCTTTGTGCTATTTGCCTTTAAATTTGCATTTTTCTTATTTTCTATATTATTAATGTTTTTTATGAAATTGAAGTTGCTTAGTAGTTCAATAGCTTTGTAAGGCCTTCAAGCCACCAAGTAACTAAAGGCACACCCTTACTTCCCTCTCCACCACCTCTATCATGATTAAGGGTGTAAATGAGCTAAGCCAAATCGAGATCATCTCATTAATGGTTGACAAGTCGAGCTTATCGAGTGGTGGGCTCGATCTCGCTTATTAAATGAGCTTGATCTCGAGCTTGTCTAGGATCCACTCATTGGCTCGCAAGCCGGCTCGACTAGCTGGATTCTAGTCTTGTCGATGCCTTCTTTAGTGAGCTACCATAACAATTATAATCTTCTCCCGCCTTCGATTACTTAGATGGCTACTCAAGTAAATTTCATGGCAATTTTATTCAAGCTTGTGAGCCGATTAGCGAACTTAATATTAGTGCCATGTGCTCGAGCTCTCGAGCTTGTATTTTGACAAACGTGTTGAGCTCGTGTTAGGCATGACTCGAGCTCATCTTGACTCGCTTACACCCGAATCATGAGTAGAACTAATCAATACAATAATTTTCATCACTTGATTCTCAAGTAGTGTATTTGATTTGTAATATAGATTTAATTGTTTAGTTTACAATGCTCATTAAAACACTATGTATTCTCGAGCATTTCGTAGAAATAAGAGTTCCTGCCTTTTCATTTCCATGCTCTTTTTATTTTTATCCCAACCCTGCTTTCCGCTACATTAGTCATAGCAAAAAAATTGAATGGAATGCATTGAATGTAGCGTTGATATTGGTTTGTGAAAACACCTTTTTATCACGGAGATACTAGAATTTGATGTAGTGCATGTACAAATCTATTTTTTTACAGATTTTTTATGGTTGAAGCCAGAGCTGTAAATTTTTAGGTTGATGCAGGATGGTTTAAGGTTAAAGTTTTTTTGTTCATGTTGAAATATGCTATGTATATTGATTATGCAAAGGACTATAGGTATCACATATCACAAACTACTTAATAAAATAATAATTTCCTTTTTTTTGAATGCAATCAGTAAATATGAGAATTATAAATTAAAAAGATGATGTAATGATTAAATAAATTTGAAGAAATCAGGAAGAAATTTGATCCACATAGACAATCAGATTCCTAGTTAGGTCAAACTTGAACAAAATCATTGTAAGAAATTCTTGTGTCACGTCAGTATAAGGAAATGAATTCCTTTAGAATTAGGTTGCCTGATATCTCATTTGAAGAAATCGTACATCCCAATCACACAAAAGATTTAAAATTTGAAGAGATTTATTTAATCGGAGTTCTTTGTCCTTGGTTAGTAGTAATGATTGATACATGATCATCTCATGTTGATATAGATAGTGTTGAAGCTCAGAACTTAACCTTGTCTAGAGAGAGAATAAATTAAAACAGCTAGATTAAAAAATACCCTGTAAAATATCCGTGAATAGAAACCCCTTGCAAAGCAGGAATATTACCCTATACTTGGGGCAAATGGAATAGCAACAATGTGAGGAGTAAAGCCATGCATAACAATCCCAGATCAGTAACAATAACGAGAGAATAGCTTGCATAATAGGACTACAATTTCAAGATATTGGTTAACATAAAATCTAAGAATGTTGTTGCCCCTGGAATTCGGTAAAATTTCTCTTATATAGTTTGATTTTGGTTAATAAGGAAATTTGGCCTTTAATAAAGCTAAGAAAATTGCAAATGCTTTCTAATGCTGTCTTGTAACAAAATTGGGGGGGAATACAACATCATCGTGTTGGAGGATTTGTTGAGCTGGCTTAGTTAGCTTCTTCCCAAGCCAATGGTTTTTGGTGTTGTTGAACATAAAAAAAGAAACTAAAATAAATTATACCCTACACCTGCTTCCACCCCAAGAGGCGATAACTGCTCTCGCTTCTAGTCACATTCTATTCGCATCCTATTTTCCATAAAAGCTACAGATGAGACAGATAAAGTGCGAGCTTCTAATTTTTGTTTCTTCAAACTACATGTAAGAGACGGAAGTCCTCCCTTTTGTTTGAACTGAAGACCTCATCTCAGCTATTCTTTGCCTTTCTTCTCTTCTTGCTGTTCAAAACTCCCATCCTTTGTATCTGTCTGAAAGCTTTAGCACACCACAACCAGCCGAAGCCCCTTGTTTGCTCGTCACCTCCACTGTTTGCGTCCCCCAGCCTAGCCTTCCGCTTTGCATGGACCACTCCTTTGTCCCGAACTAAGCATCGAACTTCCTCACGTGCTTCCTCAATATTTGAATCCCATGCGGCCGAAGCCCTGTTCGTCTCCTTCCCTACATTGATTTGATTTTCGTATCTCACGTGCCATCTCTCCAATAGGAAAATAAAGACGGGATTGCAACTTACGAGGGCCTCTAAAACTCTCCTCTTTCTCTTCTTATGCTTTTTCTCTAGGTTGAACTCTACTTCTTGTTCAAACTGAAGCCTTGCCTCCCTCTGTTAGTGCGAGTCCTAGTCAATTCAATAACTCTTTGCCCTTAACTTTGACTACCTCATTTTTCTTCTCAATCTAGAGGCAAACAAAAGTTTATCCTCTCCATGTTTTCACCCATGAACCATAATTTTGCCTCCAGTCACTTTCTATTGTTTTCCCCTATTTTCCCTAGCTGAATTATACGAGCCCTAAATCTGAATCCGTATGTCTTTACTTGCACTTGCTTGTATGTTTTTGTCCGTTCGCCCTTCAAGCGTGAAGCAGAAATCAGAACCTGCAAGTGGACTTGCTTGGTATTTATGCGATTCAGAAGTCTGCTAGAGCCCACTGGTCCCATGAATGGTACATGTTTGAATCATGCTTCACCCTTTCTGATATCTCACTCATATAACACACTAATTTAGGCAGCGATTGAATAATCTCTGCCCGTTAACTTCATTTCATCGTCGTTATCTGCCAAACAAAGAAATGTATAAATGTAAGGAGATTTTGCTCACATCATTTTTGTGCAAGTTAATAAAAAATTCACACGCCTTTTATAGATCAGTGGACTATTAGAAGTTTCTCATGACAGACAAATGTGTCTTATAAACTGTTGGGCAGGTTAGACAACCCAATGCAGCCCCCCTCCTCTTTTCTCTAACTAGGGACGACATTGGGAGGTTGCTAAAATTTTTTCCGTGATCTTAGACTTGCAAAAATGATCTAAATTTGAATTGCTTGTATTATTTGGACTTTAAAAATTAAATAAAAATAAAAGAAATTGTATCTTGCAAAATACAAATTAATCACTCATATTATAGTTCAATTCATTTCAAGAGAATAAAATTAAATTCACTTAAGACATAAGATTCATGACAAATTGAACCGTTCGTCAATTTATGTGATTGAACATTTTGTTGACTTCTAATTTTTTAGAAGTTAAACACAAAGTTGGGGTTAATTAAGCACATAGATGTCATTTTTGAATGTTAAACGAAATCGAACCCACAACACGATTATGTAAGCAGACAAAAGTCGACAATAGCTTAAAAATAAAAAATTTTGCATATAGTTTAAGTCATGATATTAGTGCAAACATTTAAAATCTTGAATCGTTTTTGAATATATATATATACTATATGAAGTTGCTCAAGCGGTCTCCCGATTTTGATCCAAGCCAAGAACCACTTATAGCCCCAATTTGGTTTAAGCTACCTGGTCTTAAGCTGCACTTTTTCAACCATCAAGTTTTTTATTCCATTGGGGCTACACTTGAGAGACCTATGAAACTAGACATACCTACTTTCAATCTCATAAGGCCTTCTGTTGTCAGGATCCTTGTGGAGAGAGATATTAATTTTGTTGAAATTGAAGAAATTGGGCTTGGAACTGCACATAAAGTGTATTGACAATGAATTTTCATGGAACAAAGACCATATTATTGCAACAATTGTAAGTTGTTTGGTCACACACTAGATAAATGTTTCAGGCGCCACACCAATTTGAGACCTAACCAACTAGTGCAACTTGATTTAACCATTGATTTGGCTAATCAAACTACTCAAGGACCATCTATTCCAACTGCTGATATGGTAGAAGAGCAACTAGGGAGTATACTGCTACTACGCCAATTGAACATGATGGGAACCCTTCTCTAATTAAGCCTACTTAGATTCTTGATCCTTCATTGGGTATCATTGCTACCAATAATTTGGTTGTAGCATATGATATTCCAATAGATATGGAACCTCTTATTGCAGAAGAAGAGGGTACTTAAGTATAGGAGACGTGTCAAGATCAAGGTGTGCAAAAGGCTGAAACTAGGGCTGTAAACGAGCCGAGCTTGAGCGAGCTCAGGCTTGGCTCGTGTTCGGCTCGTTCGAAATAGCTCGTGTTCGAAATCGGCTCGTGTTCGAAATCGGCTCATGAACAGTGTGTTCGTGTTCGGCTCGATTTAAATATTCGTGTTCGTGTTCGGCTCGTGTTCGGCTCGAAATTGGCTCGTTAAACTAAAGTTAAGAAAAATAGATGTAAAGTGTGGGATTCGAACCTGGGTCAAACATATACAAAAAAAGACACTAACCACATTGTCACATGAGATGTTATGATTTAAACTTAGACATAAATATATATAATATATTATTATATAAATAATATATGTAATATATTGTTATATAAGAAGTTATATAATTTTTTTTTCGAGCCGTAGGCTTAACGAACGAGCCGAACACGAGCTGCTTAACGAGCCGAACACGAGCTGTTCACGAACAACGAGCCAAATTGACAGCCCTAGCTGAAACTGCTCAGCAGGTTACATATCAACACGCCCGTTAGGGAGAGTTATCCATTGATGATCAATTTATTGTTTAGATGGGACATGCTCTCGAAGATGAATTAAAGATTTTTAAAGCCAAGAAGAAGAAGAAGAAGGAGATGCTAGAACTCAGAAATTTACAGGATGACTGTTTGATAGTTTCGGGTAGAAGCCTACATAACAGTTTGCTGCTAGACTCCCTCTCTAGAACCTGGGAGAGAGGAAAACCTATCTACCATGATTATTCTTCTCTTCTCAAACGGATGCACTAATTTTTATATCTGTACATGTATTTTTCTTTTTTAGAAATTATTTTTGGGGTTGTGTGATCTCGTAGGTGATTTTTTTTGGGTTTTGTTAGAATCACGTGCCCACTTGTACAAAGCCTCCTCTTCCCTTTCTCCTATTGATTAAATTTTATTATTTACTTAAAGCCCCCATATCTGTGTGTGTGTGTGTGTTTATATATATACCTAATGGTGCGGTCGTCGCTCACGCTCTGCTAGGGTTTCGCCTCTATGGTGAACTCTGGTTTTTCCTCCTTTGCATTTCTCTTCTTCGTGTGTCGCTCTCGTCGCTTTCATCCTCGTCTTCATCCTGACGCAGCTGCTCTGTGGTTGTGGGTTTCACGTTGCGCCGGTTCTGCTTCTACGGCGTCTGTGCTCGTAGAAGACCAAATTTGACGCAGCTGCTTGGTCCCGACTAGATTCCTGGCTCTCGTTTGACGCGGCTGCTTGTCTCTTTCTCTGAAGGGATGTGACTGCTCGGTCATGCGTCTCTCTTCATGCTCTGAAGTGGTTTCCTGCAGATTCCTTTCGGCATTTGCTCTTTCCTGAACTGCACTTTCATTGTTTCTTATCACACGCCTCCTTGTGATGGCTTCAAACAGATAGTATGCTGCTGCCCTTGCGGTTGTTCACGCCTCAAGTTCACCTAAATTGTGCTCTTTCCCTTCTTCATTTTAGTGGGCAGAAGACATCAAAAAACCTAATAGGAAGAATGGGAAGCCTGCCATCTTTTTTACTGACGCTGAAGGTATTCAATTTGCTTCCTCCTGTCGTCTGAATTCGGTCGAGAAATTTCTGTATGAACATCCCAAAATTGAGTTTATTCGTAAGGAATTTGAGCTTATGCACCTTGTTGGAGAGTGTAAAATTAAACTCTTAGATGGAAGACACATTCTTATTCAACTTAATAATGAAGAGGATTACACACGCTTATTTGCTAGAATGATAATCTAGATTGATATGAGAGCAATAAAAATTCTGAAATGGTTTGTGGATTTTGACCCACAAACAGAATTACAAATCATTTCGGTTTGGATTCGCCACCATGGTCTGAAATTTCATTATTTTACTCAAAAAAGTGTTGTACTTTATTGCCTCATTTTATTAAGCCATTCAAAATGGACATTCCTATTTTTAATTCTTTCTGTCCATCTAAAGCCAGAGTATTTGTTGAAAGAGACATCACTCATCACTTCATTTCATCCGCTTTTGAGGAAATTTGGTTGGGCACACAACACCATGAATATTGACAAAATGTAGTGATTGAGCATTTTCCTTCGTATTGTTCGAACTGTTGTATGTTCGACCAATCCAATTCTCTATGCCATCATCTACACCCCCACCTCAAATCAAATAAGAAAAATGCTCCGCCAGAGACAGTGAATCCATCTCCTCCTGATCAGCTCCAAGTTATTGACACTATTGATCATTAGAAGGATACTCCTGAAGATGTAGTTATCCTCGCAGGCAATATATCAACAATTCAGTCTTCACGCAATGTTATAGCTCCCCCGTCTTTGGAACCTCCTATCGTAGGGGCGAGGGAGACTCTTCAGACCCCGCCTTTCCTAGAAACTATCACTGATATTACAAGTGGCAATACTTCTACTGCTTCACTATTGCCTCATCATGTCCAACCAGATTTTAATGTTATCCAGGCTCATAGGGATCATGATGTGCAACAACCTACACATGTTTGACCACCTTTGGACCAATCCATTGATCAGATGAGTCAATCCTCAGATGAGAAATGATAGGTTTACACATCCAGGAGGAAGAAGAAGAATAAACTTACTTGAGCTCAGGAATCTGATGGATGATACTTTGGTTACTTTGGGTAATGGTACACACGTTATCAATTTGTTAGCCGGCTCCCTTTCGAGAACTAGAGGCAGAGGAAAGACTAAAGTAGGACTTCCCTAGCACTTTTGCGTCCGTTGGTGGCTTTTTGGTTTTTTATCTTTATATATATTTGCTTTATTTGGGATTTTGTGTGTTGTATTGTGTGAGTTGGGCCTACTTTTAGGCCCTCTCATACAACCTATCTGTACCCTGCACCTTTTCCTCTTATAATGATGTTTTTCAAGTTAAATACTCACGCCATCGTATTTGCAAATAATTAGACGTGGTTACAACATTAGCATTTTTCTTTTAATCTTTTCTTCGCTGTCCAGGTTTCCAGTTTGTAAGTTTTTCATGAAGTTTCTGATATTTGTCTTTGATATGTCCAATTTTCTTGCCATTGTCACACGTGAGATGGTTTTTACTGAGCTTTGAGTTATGGGAAGAATTATTGGTGTACATGCCCGAGCTTTCAATGCTCAGTGAACCCCCATTTCCATTAAGCATCAACGTCTTTCTGCTCTCTTCTTTTTTGACTTCAGCAAAGGTTTCACAAACAGATAGGAGAGATTTTGTTCTCATGATCCTCCCTTTCACTTCATTGAAATCCTGAGTTAGTCCAACTAAGAATTTGATGATTTTCTTCTTCTCGATTATGGATTTAAACATCTCGATATCATGTGGGCATTTCCACACGTGTCTCAAACATATCAAATTATAACTTATACTTTGTCAATGTATTGAAGTATTGAGTGACACTTAGTTGTCCTTGATGAAGGTCATGATGCTTGGTTCTCAAACAGTTTTGCTGTGTTTTTAGTGCTGTATATGTTTCTCTTGGAACTTCCCAGTTTTTCTTGGCAATTTTGCAAAACAAAAAATTCTCTCCCACTTAGTGGTCATTGTGACTAGCCAAGACATAACTATATGATCTCGATTCTTCCATGTGCAGTGGTCTTAGGTTAATGATCCCAGGAACCGTGCCATCTCCTGTGAGATGTTCCTCTTTTCCTTTGCCACAAATATACATAAACACAAAGTGAGACCATTGAAGGAAATTATTGTCTTTTAATTTATGATTTAGATAAAGTTAGAGAGTTTACAAGTCGACTGAGCAACATCACTAGCCTTTGATTTAAAATTGACATCATCTTCATTCCATACTTGGTCATAAGTTCTATACACACACTTAGGGTAGAAATTCAGGAATAGGAAGGAATTCAGGGAGATGCTCACTGGGCTATCTGTGCTGTAGGATTTCAGCTGTTGGAGGTAGACAACAAGTGGGGACAATAAATGTTACTGCTTGCTTAGGAAAGATCCTTGCTTTGATCTTTTTGAAGGCAACATCATGTAGGTAGCAACAACCAAATCTGCTTGCTGTGTTCCTTGTCAAGATCCATGACTCTACTTGCTCAGGACCGATCCCATGGGACTTCCAATCGGATGAGGAACCACACAATCTAATAGCTCGGCAGGGACTCAACTAAATATTCATGACTCTGCTTGGACCACCGAGATATCCATGACTCCACTTACGGAGTTTCTGGTGAGGAATGAAGCAGGGACTAGGATGGCATGTAGCGAGGGACTGGGAAGAGCTCCGACTCTAGAGGTTTTATGGAGAAGCTCTGACCGAAGGCTTGCTGGAAGACCGATGGTTGCAAGGAAGGTTTCGGCCCTGGATGGTTGTTGGAGAGACTCCGGCAGTTGAAAAAAATCTTGGGTTTGTTTCCTATGACTCTAATATCATGTAGAATATAGGTTTTGAGAGTAATAATTCTCTTGAATATATTATTCACATGTAGAGTATATATATATATATATATATATATATATATATCGGGGAATGCAATCTCTCCTAATTTTCAAATTTACCAAATTTTAACCTAAGTTAGGAAAGGAAATATTCTGAAATAAAAAGTAAAATAACATAAAATTGGAAGTGAATAAATTAAGCAAGAGTTTCCTAAGTTGTCCCAATCAGATTCTCCAAGATCTTCTCATATTTCCTCCAGGATTTTGTCAGATTTCTACAAACATTGAATTTTAGCATTCATTATTTTCTACATTAACATTGTGTATCTTTAGCTCTTTATGGCAGTCCAAAATAATACTACTGTGGAGAAAATGGATTTTTTAGTTGCTACCATTCCAGTATGTGCAAGATAATATCTCTCAATAATTATTTATGTTAAAAAAAAAAGATTTGCAGTTCGTGTTATAATCTGTTATAGTGCTTGCAATATGTTGTGTAACTGCACATGCAACCATTCAATTCAGAGTTTTGGCTATTCATACCATTTTTTTATTATGTATTAATTAACCTTTATTTTGTGATTACCTTTCCGTTGCAGAATAACTTGGATGAACTCTTCATGCTGATGCACTTTCTTGATGATGGAAAGGTCCGATCCTTTTTCTTATCTGCATGTGGCCTTTGGAGATGACTATCCGGTTGCATCTTTTTATGATATTGAAGTCATATATTATGAAATGTAGAGGCTATTTTATGCTTATTATAACTTTTTTAATTACATTATGCATTATTATGAGTTACGAATCTTTATATATGGTAATTTTGGGATTGTAGAAATTCTATTATTAAGCATAATTTTATTGTAATGAATGGATACTTAGGCACTTTTGAATGGTTGAACAAGAATTTGATTTAGCTCTAATTGATAAAATTTGTGCTAGATTATGCTCAAACTAGTTTAATTAGACATACTCTAAAACGTCAAACAATGTCTGTGAATATTTGAATTGTCCAAAATGGGGCTCAAATAGATTTTTGACTGGCCTGGGCCTGATTGCACCAGCCAGCTTTGACCGTTCATCTTCATCTTTGTTGAAGAAAATGGGGCAACACACATTGCTGCGACATTTTTGTTTTGATTGTTAGCTGTTGGCAACCTCTAAACCTCCGCTCCTAAGCTAGCTGTTGGCAACCTATAAACCTCCGCCCCTAAGCATTGGCCATAAATGATATCTCACACGACATTAGTTCCATTGCCTCTATAAATCAAAATCTTTATGATCTTTTTTAAATTATGGCCTCTGCTACGAATCATCTATTTGCATGTTATTTTTCAATTTTCTTTTGGAGTTCTCGATCTTTTTGGCATGTAAAGGTGCATATTTTTGTTTAATCGGAAGGAAGAGGAAATGAAATATCTTAAAATTTTTATCATCAATAGCATTTCAAACTCAAAATTGCCACTATCAGTGGGATTTAAACATTGCTGTAAACAACCTCCTATTTTGTGATCACTGAGCAGAGGTAAAAACAATCTAAGGCCTCTTTTTTTTTTAATAAAATAGCATTATTCGGCTCCTCATTTTATTCCAATAGAGTAAAGTATAAAATTGAGAAAGTGGTCCCACACACACACCCAATAATTCTCTTTCCAAACAAAGAAAAATACAACTCAACACACCCCCAAACACGTCAACAAACTAAAGCACCTACAAATCCAAAAGAACCAATCTATGAAGATTATCAGGTAAGATTTTAGAAATGAAATGTGCTCGTAGAAAAGATCCCAATTTAGTAGCCCAATTGACAACAACATTACCATCTCTTTTAGTATGAGACGAAATCACATTAAGATCTTTGGCTAGATGAAGAATCCTTTTAACCTGCAAATGTAAACTCCAATGGCACACCAAAATAGATCTGAAAATAGATCTGCAAATCTTCCCATAGAATAAGGGAATCAGTCTCAACTATAATATTGTTCCTAGCAATCAATAAAGCAGAGACAATAGTATCAACTTTTGCAGCAATCGAAGAAATATAAAGAGAAGGGCAACAAACCAATAAATGACAAAACCACTCCAATCCTCACAAACTCCTCTAATACCTGCACGATTCTTCTTTCAACTCCCCATCAGAATTAATTTTAAAAAACGGAGCATAAGACTTATTCCAAACTACTATACAAAATGAATGTGAATTAGTAGTAAAATTGAGAGAGATTTTAGTAAGAATGACTTTCACATACACATTGTTAGTATGCTTCATACCATTAAAAGAAAGTCTCTTACTCATACAATAACAACAACAACAACAACAACAACAACAACAACAACAACAACAACAACAACAACAACAACAACAACAACAACAACAACAACAACAACAACAACAACAACAACAACAACAACAACAACAACAACAACAACAAAGCCTTAATCCCACTACGTGGGATCAGCTAAATAATCTTTTTTTTTTCCATTGCGTCCTATTTAGTGGCATATTTTCATTTAGTTCTAGTAGATTAAGATAATTTTTTATACAATAAGCCCAAGTCTTCCTAGGTATATTTCTGCCTTTCTTAACACAAGTCGAATCTAAAACATCTACTCTCCTAATCGGATCATCAGATGGTCGACGTTTAATGTGTCCAAACCATCTAGGACGGCTTTCTCTAATTTTGTCCATCACAGGAGCTACACTAACCCTATCACGGATATATTCATTTTGCATTTTGTCTCTAAGTGTAAAGCCACTCATCCACCTAATCATTCTCATCTCGACAACACTTAACTTATTGTTATGCTACTCTTTTAAATACCAACATTCAACGCCATAGAACATTGCAGGTCTGACCACAGTCTTATACAATTTTCCTTTCATTCTAAGCGTTACTTTTCTATCACACAAGAGGCCCGAAACATTCCTCCACTTCAACCAACCAACTTGAATTTTACTATTATCATCCCCATTTATATCACCATCGCTTTGAACAACAGAACCAAGATATCTAAATCGTTCACACCTTTTACTCATATAGGAACAACTTTTAGAGAAAGTAATCCTAGCAGTAATAGTCTCATCAGAATATCTCATACAGTTTCTAGAAACCCAAATAAATCAAAGAACAATAGAAGGTATATTATATAAGAAATCGTGCTCCTTATCCTTCCAATCATCATAAATAGCAGCAATGTTAGGATATCCAGAAAAAACATCAATTCTATCACAAATATCAAAAACACTAGTCCAAATATCCAAAGCAAAAGTTCAATCAGTAAGAATATGACGGAGACTCCTCAACATTCATACAGAGAACACACTTAGAAGCAATCCTTAAGCCTTTATGCTTAAGAATATTGTCAGTAGGTATGATCTCATGAAAAACCCTCTAAAAAAAAAGAAATCGAATGTTTTACACATTTCTTCTAATTCCAACTAAGATCCATTCCATGATAAGAAAAAAATATGATTAGCTAAGGACTTAGTAATATAATCACCAAGCTTACTTTTAACCTTAGGAATATCTTTTTTATCAAATATAATAGGAATTGGAGAGATAAACTTAGCATCATTATAATGCACAATAGTAACCAGCTGAGACAAATTTTAACTTTGCCCAACCCGTAAATCCTTAACCTTCATATTAATATCCTGAGGACCCTCGTAGAAGTCACTAAGAGCACCCTTACCAAGCCAGTCCTCATACCAGAAAGCCACATCCCCATTGCCGACATCTTAACATAACTTCTCTTCTACTTGAGAAGAGTCCTTAAGCATCTCCCTCCAAATAAAAGAATCCTTTTTAGAAAAGGAAATAAAAAGGGGATGAGAAGTAGAACAATACTTAGCTCGGAGCAGAGAAGCTCAAATAGAATTATCCATTCGAAACCGAAGACAAAACTTCATATAGCTAATTCTAATAGAATCAATAAGACTACGAAAACCAAGTCCACCCTTATCAACCGGTTTACAAAGCTTCTCCCAGCTCTTTCAATGAACATTCTTCTTACCAAAACCCTCCCAAAAAAATTTGTTAAACAATATCTCCAGCCTCTTAATGAAACCAAGAGGCATACACATCACTTGCATAATATAAAGAGGAAGAGAGGTAAGGATGCTCTTATGTAAAGCAACACGCCCACCGAAAGATAATAACTTATGCTCCCAAGAAACAATCCTCATTCTAATCTTATGAAATAATTCAGAAAAAAGATAATTCTCCTTAACACAATTAGTATAATTAGCAATCCAGTTCTTCTTATCAGCAGATATTTATTTGGAATAATAAAAATAACATTTAGAATTGTTAAAAACTAAACCAGATACATCTTGCATATGGGAAATCACCTTCCAAATCTTTTGATGGATCTCTTATGAGAATTAGAAGAAGTATAAGATCATCCACAAAACAAAGATGAGAAATGCTAATACCACCTCTATGTATATAGTTTAGACAAGGATACTTTTCAAAAAGATTGTTAAGACAGTTAGAAAGATAGTCAAAAACAAGAATAAATAGGTAAGGAGAAAGCGGATCCCCTGCTTAATACCTTTAGAGGCCATAAAGTAATCATTAGAGGTATTGTAGCCACTGGAGGTACCATTAATTATAACAGAGTAATAGTTATTATTTAAAATCCTTTTAATAATATTGCAAAAATCATCATTGAAGCCAACAATCTTAATAACATCAAGCAAAAATTCCCACTTGATAGAATCAAAAGCTTTCTTAATATTCATCTTAAAAATAACAATACCACAAATTTACTTTTATCAAAATCAAACAATAATTCCTGCACTGTCAGAGCATTGTCCCTAATGTGTTTTTCTTTAAGAAAGGCAGTCTAATTTAAAGAAATAATGCTATTTAAAATAGGTTGAATTTTCTTAACCATAATCTTAAAAATAATCTTAGACATAACAATATTAATGCTGATAGGTCTAAAATCATTCCAAAAATTCTTGCAAGAATTCTTACCATTCTCCTTAGGAATCAGAGCAATGTAAGAAGATTTAAAATATCTTGGTAAATCACTTCGACAGAAGAAATCCTGAATGACCTCAACAAGTTCAGGCTGAATAATATCCCAACTATTCTTATATAATTCCACAGTGAAACCATCTAGACCAGCAGCTTTGCCATCCTCCATGTCATCCATAACATCCTTAATTTCCTCTTTAGGAATATAAGTAAGATTTAAATTATTTAAGCTAGAAGATATATGATACAAATTAGCATTAATCTGAGTAAGAGGACTACCATCATTATGAAATAGATTAAGAGAGAAAACTAACACCATCATTAGCAATATCATTTGGATTATAGAAAAAAACTACCATTAATACTCTTAATGTTAGTAATCATGTTAAGCTTCCTTCCACTCTTAATGCAAGCATGATAATAGGCAGAGTTCCTATCAACATCAAAAAAATTAGTAGTATTAATCAGATCCTTCTGCCCTTGAAGCAATAGATCAAGATTAATACTATTATTACAGTAATCTAATTCTAACTCTTTAACTCGATTCTCAGCATCAGCCTCAACCTTACTAAGATTTCCAAAAACACTCCAATTCCAATTTTTTAGAAACTAAGCAAGATTTTTCTGAAGCAACCAAAGCTTAACACCAGGATTATCATGCACAACATTCATCTTGTGAGCATTCCAATTCTCCATATGCATAATCTTTCTCACGTTCTAGCTTAATCATAAGATGTCTGCCATCAATAAAACCTAAACTTCATTTACCAGTAATTTTAAGATCCAAAAAGAATCTCCTAATCGCTTCCATTTGCGGATGGGCAATGGAGAATTTACCTACCTGAGTAAATTTCAGAGGCTCACAAGGAAATTGAAATCCGAATCTTGAAGAAAAATGACTGGCTTACCATTTTTCCAAGCGAATTTCTTGAGTAGAGCTATCAACCAATTGAATTTTAAAAAACGAAGACAAATTAACATTACCTAGATCATGAGAACCACCAGCAACAATATCACGAAAATGAGCGGCTTCACGAATAGTGAAATCCATGACAAGAGACGAAGAAACCTGAAGATCACAAGAGGAGAAAAGTTAGGGCAAATGATAAGAGAACGGCACACCAAGAAACCTTTGGCGCTCCAAGAACTCCATGCCGCAAGAAAGACGAACAAGCAGCAAGAATAACAGGATGGGCTGAGGTCGTGCGCAGCGAAGGCAAGATCTCGGTCGCGAGGAAGAAGAATCGGGTAGGAAAGATCTCGGTCGCGAGGAAGAAGTATAGGGTAGGAAGAGAGGGGGAGGTCGGATCAGTGGCGTGTTGTTGCCGGCGGGGGGGCAACTGGCGCGGGG